AGCAGCTAGAACAAAAATTTTTTCACTGTTAAATAGGGCATTGTTTACACTATATATACCGCTATTCAAAACAGAAAATTTCGTATCTACGATTTTTTCAGAAAATGCCGCCTAAATGCCCACTGTGCTTTCCAGCGGAAATTAAGCTATCTCCTATAGGCAATCGACTCTGCTTTATCACATAGCTAAAGACTTTGGACAGCATTGGCATATAATTCCCATAATCTTTCTAACTTTTTTAATATAGGCACTAACCCATCTATCTTTGCATCAGAATCAAATCGCGGACAATGGAGCACAACATCTGGATAATGCGTTAAAAGACAATAAAATAAGGAACCTCTGTAGCTGATTTCCCAAGTACAGACCTTCACTATGTCACACACACATTCGTATAAAATTGTTGATAATAAACAGTTGAATCGGAGACTAGCGTAGCAAGATTCTTGACGCTGAGTTGTCAAGGTGTTATTTTGTCCTCGGTGAATAATTGGCACAAGTCTGCTACTTGTTCACATAGGATCCATAGAGTGGGAAGTAGTAGTTCCTGACAAACTTATTTCAAGTTCAATTGAGAATTTGGAATCATATTTTTAAATATGAACAAGGTTGAATGATAGTTTTGCGCAAGTTCACATTTTTCGACCATAATTTCCTGTGATATGAGCAAAGTGCTGTATGGGACAGAGCCCTGCAGGTTGATCCTAAAACCTAACCTTAGCTTGTCGAATCCATAGGTTAGGTTAGGATTAGGTTGTGAAATTTTTTATAAGTTAGGTTATAGGTTGCCAAATATTGGCAACCTGCAGGGCTCTGGTATGGGATAGTGAAGGATCACATACGAAATGTACTGCTTCGTCTTGTGACACAAAATAGTTGTACAATTATGAATATCACTCCAAAATAATAAACCAAAACGATTTCTAATTTGAAGTCTGAAAAATGAAGCATTTTCGGTTAAGAAAAGTGAGCTCGAAACACTTGAAATCAACTTTGTAGTTCATGGGTTGATTGAAAAGATGATTACAAGTATTTAGAGCTCACTTTTATTGACTAGTATTTTCCTGGTTTCACTTCTAAAAATATCGGCAAATGAATTCTATTCAATCCAAGGAAATTTCCGCTGCGATACCTTTGAAGGATCTCTATTCGTGTTATAAATTTTCATAACCTAGATATTTATACGTTTAAGAACAATATTATGAATGCGTTTGAATTAAATCACTCAAACATGATCCATTCAGACAAGTATTCCAAACTGTAATGACATCATTTATTCAGATGTTGAACGTTTTGTAAACATAGGATATTAGCTATTCCATCTTGAATGCTATCTTTTGAAGGAGTATATTTATGCTTTTCTCTGTATAATTGTAAGACAAAAGTCTGTCGTGTTTTCAATCCATTTTGCATATCACGAATGCAACAGGAATTTTTGGCGGAAGAGAACGAGCTTTTATGGAATCTTTCAGTTCTATATACATAATTTTGAGAAATATTTTTGTTCAAAAAGTTCCTATTCATTCTTAAACGAAACTGAAGTGTTAGATCATCGATGCTAGTACCCGTGCAATGTATTATGACCAAGGCAACTGCAAGTATATAGTATGTAATATCTGCCTTGTTTAGCTAGTACATGTGTCTCTAGCCAAGTTAGGTCTATAATTTCCAATTGCATTTTGGCAACTGTTCGAGTTATTTCAAGCATTGAGAAAGTTAATAAGTCACATCTCTATCGTTTATTTAGAATTTGGCTAGACTTGAACCGAAAATTAGAATGAGAACTTAGATACGAGACTAAATTTTCGAGAGCTCGTCGCGCGCCATCGTATGCTGTTCAGAGTCTGCTTGAGTGGTGTTCCAATGCTAACGATCGTGTAATATCGTACGAAAAAGTAAACCGCTAGTGAATTATCTGTAATACCTGACTTCTTCATATAGTAGATGTGTCTTGGTTCAATAACAGCTATACAAACCAACAGAAAATGCTATGGGTTTTGAAAATGTTTTCTAAATCCTCCGAACTGCAAGGATATCTTTTTATCTTTCTTAAGTAAAATATCACATTGAGCAGGTAAAATGGAGTACATCTTGATTGTCTGGCATAATTTGGATGAATGTTTTAATTTTACTCAAAAATATGTTGAAATGGGTTATTTCACCTAATATAGGTTTTCACTAGGTTTTTGAAACTTTTTCGAAAAATATATGTTGCCACGAGATTCAGCGTAGTTGATTACCTATGCTTCCATTCGTTTTCGGAATTACCACACCTAAAGAAATATTGATCCTGAGACTCTCAGGAGCTCCGATGGCACACATGAACCAGGAAAAATTAAGAGTTCGCTTAATTTCCATTTTGGAGAGGACACTTTGGACTATATACGTATGAAAAAACCGGATAGATTACTATCTTACTATCTGGTGATTCAAACTGGTTTTCCAAAGACCCCCTATAAAACCGATCTTCCGAATATTTTTCGAAAAGAATTTTGCTTATGGAAACATAGACAAAATTGTCTTCTTTCGATTGTTGAAAACCCCAAATCTCTATTTTATTGCCTTTGAGTTATTCAAAAAGCAACCACCTGTCTTATATTTCGGCGCTGAGAAGAGTTCAGCTGTTCTCTTTCTAGATTTTCCAGCAACACGCCTATAGACTTCCCGTCTTCTTCTTCGCACTATTTTAAAAACTGCATAACCTTTCATTTTTGAACAAGACATAAAGTTTCCTAAACCGTAAAATCACTACTATCAGTTTTCTATGCAATATTACGAGACTTGAATGCACAATACAACGCATAATACGAACTGAAATGTATTTACCGGATTATTTGATCTCAATAAATTATCCGAAGGAGTTTCATTATTTATATTTTCTTTCAAATACTGTGGGTATTTGTCAGTAAAATTTACATCGGCAGGAATACGTTCATCTCCTACCAAACAGCTTCGAATTGTTTGCTCATCATTAATATTCAGTTCTTCAATTATCAGATACTTTTTCAGTAGACTATTAATATTAATTGCTTCCATATTATTCAAATAATGAATGGGTAAATCTTTTAAAGTCACTGATGATGCATTTGCTTTTTTAGCAGATGACCAAAAAGATAACGGTAATAATGGAAGTAAGAACGATTTTGAAGAAGTTGAAGGGTCATTACGCTGACAGACTAACGGAGAAAAGTGATTAAGAGAATATTGTAAAACTATAGGATAATGAATAATGTTGCTGGTATTTGTCAATAACGGCAGATATAAACCAATGATATCATTCAGTTGTGCTTGTTTCTCATGGATGGTGCCGATGTACTCCGACCCAACAACGATAATTGGACGTTTTAACGTATTATATGCAGCAAATATATGACAAGATTGTAAATAAACACATTTTTCATCATTCAAAACAGGTACTTCTTCAATAATATGCTTTCATTCCTAAAAGATACATAGACAAATAGATCCCTAACAACCGAAACAGTACCCTAGATTGAGTGCCCATCTATTTCTTTACAAAGTGGTCATTGTAGGATCAGAAGTTAAGTTTCAAAAAAGCACTATATAGCCTCAGAGGAGAACTTATAAAAAAATAATGCTTTTGCCAGAAGAATCTTTAAAAGTTTTCGTCATATGGATGCTCTGCAAATTTTGCCAACAGAAAGATTTAGTGGAAACTCTAGGAACATGCTTCTCTTCCAAGTCAAGTTTTACGGAATCTTTTGCCTACCTGTCTGGGGGTTCGCGTTAATCCCTAAAGATATTAAACCACAAACAAAAAAAAGGTTCATGACGAAGCATAATAATAAGAATACTGAAGATGGCGAGCGAAAGACTAACGAGAAACTCCAACAACTGTTCCTCTTTCTTACTTCTTCTAATATATGTTCTTCAAGTTCTAGGTTTAAATTTAATTTTCTATCATTAACAATTTTTGAATACTTCCATCGATCATGTAGAGCACTTTCATTCAATTCAATGTATTTTGACAAATGATTTCTAAGTATGAAATTTGTATCGCCAATGCCAATCATACCCATCATACATGCATTTAGCAGACAGTTACCTTTGCCTATAAGAAGAAATAATTTATTACATTTCTGAAAAAGTAAATAGCCATCAGAACCCAAAACTTGGCAGCTTACCGACTGTCTTTAATGAATATAATGGCACTACTGTACTGCACCAATTAATTATTTTAGCTTTTTCCAAACTTTTCTGATTATCACATAAGTAATGTCTAAAATGCTTTAATACTTTATCATTAACACTTATAGTTGTTGTGTATGTGGCTGAAACTGATGGATCTGAGTGTAATGATACAAAGATTTCTAATGCATTAAAATTCCATCGTCGTTGCGAAATAACTTTTCGTACTCGGTGTACGGGTACAGACTCGAGTCCAGATACATCCACTGAGATAAGTCGAGTTTTAACGAAGACGTTCAATCTAAACTCAAGCAGCGAAACAAGAAACCGAGTCACAGGCTATTGCCTTTCGAAAAACCAATGAACGGCTTGGCCAAACGTAACGGAATTACATTTAGACAACTTCGACTTTTTGCTCGGATACCACTGAACAGATAAGATCCAACTTCGTTTTACAACTTTAACTCCAAAAAGTTTAGATTTGTTGAGGAGATCAAACGTTGTAGCGAAAAATAGATATTGTGACGGGATTACATAAAAGAGAATATTTTTCTCCTTACTCTCAGAATTACTCAGAATGCGCCGAAGTTACATATCATTACTATTCCTTCTCTTTATCGATAAACTCAATGAAGATATCACTGAAAGACCATATACCTACACCACTGTACTAGCTACATTGAAAACAATGCTGTTTTCGTTAATCAAGTCATAAGATATTTTTACATTTATGTGTTCAAGTATCTCACGCCTTTTTCTAACAAAACAAATTATATTCCCACTAACATCAAAACAAACAAAAATAAAAAAGAATCTATGTACTTATCGAGTTCACAATAAAATTGTTTCATTATTACTAGATCGAACAATGGTGATAGAAGATGGTGTCGTTTCACTGAAAGAACAAATAACAAGATGTTAACAGCATGGCACACTGTATTTATACTATAAGTTTAAAAAGATAATATAACTGTAAGCTTAGAATGTTCTCCATACATCTTTTCGTTTTCAATTATTCAATTCGCATATGCACTAGGGGTGGCACATTACTATTATTTTGAAGAGTAATCCAAATATTGTATATATTCCTATTACCAGTAACAGTAATTCTTTCCAGTTTTACTGTTGCCGGTACAAATTTTATGAGCATTTCTATTACCAGCAACAGTAAAACTGGAAAGTATTAC